GGATAAAAAAAGAGAGCAAGATCTTTCTTCAAGTAAAAAAAGCGACAAGAAAGTAGAGCAAAGTGAAGAAAAGGAGAAGGATAAAAAGGATTCAATCGTAGACGAAGAAAATTCATCCCCCAAGGAACAAGTCAAACCAACGCCATTAACTGAACATGAAGAAGAGACTAAAAAACGGTTGCGCAATCTTCTCAGTATTCTATCCGGTGACAAGGTTGGATGATTTCCTGAAGATTATTTATGACTTCTCGTATGTTTTATCAAAGTTTGTTTCTTTTTAGGTGATTGAGTTACATCTTCAATTCCTGATTCGCAATAACAAAGCAGATCTGCGATTACTGGAGCGAATCAAGGATGAGGTTCGTCATTCGGTTACACACAATGCCACAGTTCTGGCGAACGGCCTTATGCATTGTGGTACTACCTCAGACCAATTTTTAAGGGACTATCTTAACTGGCTAGGAAAGGCTGTGAATTGGGCTAAATTTACTGCAACTGCTACGTTGGGCATTATTCATAGAGGCGAGTTATATTTTCTATAATCTTTCCTTATAAATATGGTTCTCACATTTGTAACCTTAATATCCTAGGTCATGAAAAGGAAGCTCTTCGTCTGATGTCAGCATATCTACCCAAAGAAGTCAACGGCAGCTCGGGATCTGTGTATACTGAAGGCGGTGGGCTTTTTGCTCTGGGCCTTATTCACGCTAACCACGGGGCAGGCATGACAGGTAATATTTTTGGCAGCCTTTTTTCTTTAATTTGCCTTTATTTTTTATTGGGTAAAAGTGATTTTGAACTTAAGCAAGTGCTGCATTTTAAAAGTTTATCCTCTTGAGTACTTAATTTTCTTTTTACTATTTGTTTTTTAAAGAATATCTTTTGAATCAATGTAAAGAGGCTACTTCTGAGCCGGTCCGACATGGTGCTTGTCTTGGTCTCGGATTAGCTGCCATGGGTACTGGCCGCGAAGATGTTTATGAGCAAATCAAATCCAATCTTTATCAAGATGATGCAGTGTCAGGTGAGACCATGTGCTTGGATTCTGAGGTCGAATTTCGAGCTTATTTTTGGCGAACTATATAAGGCTTAAAAGTTCTTCACATTTAACTCAGAAGCTCCTAGTGGTATCTACTATTATCAATTAGGCTCGAAATTTCTGTATCCTCCTACCTACTTTAAAAGCTTTTTGAAAAATTTGCCGCTCATCGTTGTTCGGTGTCCTCGTTTATTCTAGGCTGATTCATTTTTACGAGGGAAATGAGATTGCTTAACGTTTTAAGTGTTTGGAGAAATACCATCCCCGATTCTTATTAGGTCACTCAGCTAGATAAGAGTAGATTAATAAGAGTGGGTTTTGGAATTTTACTTATTTAGCTTTTTTTCATCGCATTTCCTTTTTTCAGGTGAATCGGCCGGTATTGGAATGGGTCTTGTAATGCTCGGCACTGGTTCTTCTAGAACCATTGAAGACCTGTACGGTTATGCAAAAGAGACTGCCCACGAGAAGATAATTCGTGGAATTGCTATTGGTATCGCGCTCGTTATGTACGGAAGACAAGAAGAGGCTGATCAGCTCATTGATAGCCTCACAAAGGTACGTTTTCACAATCTGCTATCTTTATGTATATCTAAACGACGGCCTTTGACTAGAAACTCGAGAATAAAATTTGTTGACACAATTGCGAGCGCTAATGTCATTAAATACTTAAGTCGTTTTATCGTATCTTAATTTTTTGTTTAGGACAATGATCCAATTCTCCGATGGTCAGGTATGGCCACCATTGCAATGGCTTATTGCGGAACTGGAAAAAATCGTGCAGTTGAACGTCTTCTTCATGCGGCTGTTAGTGATACTAGTGACGATGTTCGACGATGGGCCGTCACCTCTCTTGGGTTTATTCTTTTCAAGTGAGCAATCTACACATTTTGTTGAAAAGATCAAGTCTATCCGTTCGCATAGTATAGAGTCTGTTTCCCAACAAATTTTCAATATACTTCCTGGTATACTCATTACTGATTAACTGAGGTATAAATTAGGACGTTAAATTTAATCAATTAGGCATTCTAAATAATAGCGGCAAAACTGAGCTGCCGCATTCTTCAGGAGGGATGTGTGATAATGACAAAATATCTTGATAATTAAGACTATTTCATTAAACAGGCATAATTGTTTAATTAGGTTATTTTCCTGTCCCATATCATACCACTTAGCTGTCACAACGCTTTATTTAACTGTAACCATACCTTTCATTTCGCTTAAAAACGCATGATGAATATATTCTTTGGTGCGCTCCATCAGAAGATGACAGCTGATTCCTGTTCTTCAGCTATTTGGTCTTAATACGGTATTCAGGTTGACGCATTTTACGAGGCCTTCTTCGTCTTGGGTGAAAATGAGCTGAGCTTTATTTTTTTT